CCCCAAAACCCCAAAACCCCAAAACCCCTTAAGAAGACCCCTTATTGAAATCCTTAGAAATCTGGGCTTTATTCCTTAATCTAATTGTCATCAGCAAGCCTCTTGAGCACTAGCTCAATCTCCTTCTTAAGCTGGGAATCTGCATGGATAATCAAATGCAGAGGAGACGCAAAGGGGTTACCCCCTTCGCGCTTCTTCTTCAGTGATCTTGGCTGATAGACTCCTAGAGGTATTGAGAAGTAAGTGGAAGAGGGACTTGGGGATACGGCTCCTCCTCTTGCGGAAACAAACTCTTCCTAAACCTAATCGCAGTGGAAAACGCAGTCCCCAATAACCCAGTCCTCCTTCCGACCTTTCTTATCTCATTATCAAACCTCTTAAACTCCTTCTTCCCCACTCTTCTCACTCCATCTCCCCTAAAAATCTCTCTCAAAATCCTTACTCTGCACTACCACTTTCACTAAAATCTTGGCTTGGGCCAAACTTCACGTTCGAAAAGACCAAATCGACTTTTCTGGCCAATGTCTGCAGCCTTTTAATCAAGTAGCTTGCCGTTCTCTCAGGATCTTCGAACAAAGTCAAGCTTTCCTCTGAAGTTGCTGAACTAGAAGAAATTAGCAAGAAAGAGACTTAAGCCGGCTCTAAAAAGCAAGCGAGTGGGTAACTATAAAGCTTACTCTTCAATATGGGATGATCTACTCTCTGATGAATCGCTAGAGGCTGAGCTGCTCTGATCCTCAGAAAAGGATTGAGACATTCTTCGAGTAAGAACACCTCAAATTTTAGATTGAATCTTTCTGTCTCTAGAAAAGCGGACTCCTTGTTTCTTCTTTGGTAATATTTCAGAAATTAGTCTAGTCTGTTTATATTTCTTAGATGCAGGAATCGATCATGTTTTAGAAGGTTTTGCCTCAATCTTTCTGGATCTACCTCTCTGACGCTTGTGTGATATTTCTGGTGTCTCTTTGATAAGTTTCTTATTGTTGCTCAACTTCTTTGTCTTTAAGCGCTTTTTAGTGGCTTTATTTGTGTTCCTGTTCATTTTCATGTTCAGATGAACTAGATCTGCAATCTTCACTCAAGATATTTCTACGCTCGTAATCAGAGTCATCAGAGTTGTCTTGTTCTTTGACTTCATCACAATCTGCATTCAACTGGCGATGTCTTGGTACTGGCTTCACTGCCTTGGATTTGAAGCTACTTGGTTTGCTTGCTGACCTGAGTTGCTGGCTGAGTCGACTTCTGAGTCATGACTGTATCTGCAGCCATCTTGACTTGCTCTGCATCATCCTGAGCAGCTGGAGCAGTTGGCATATTTTGAGATTGAGAGAGCGAAGGATTCAGCTGTGACAAAATCGAACTCATGACTGAGTCAAGCTTCGAACTCAGCTGATCAATCTGTGCCTGAGCTGTCTCACCAGGCTGAGCTGGTTGAACTGACTGAGCTAGTTGAGCTGACTGAACTTGTTGTGACATCAAGCCATCCTGAGTTGGGTGGATCTGAGACTCTTGCTGCTGAGTCTGAGTGGATGGAGCCATTGCTGAAAACTGTGATGACACCAAGCTAGCACCCTTGATGTTGTAGTTGGGCTTCTCAGGACTGACCTGGATCAAGTCAAGTTGGTCAGCGTCACAAGATATCGACCTCAAATCTTTCGGCTGCATAGGCTCACGAGTTGCAACTGCATCTTGAGTCTGAGATATGAACCCACAAGACAGCTCAGGTGCAAAGCCGAAGTCGTGACAGCTGTTCGATGATCTCTGTTTTCTGGCTCTGGGTTGGAATCCTGTTGTTCTTTGCATTTGTGATGGTCCTTGCATCTGATTCTTGTTTACAGAATTTGAGAGTTCAGTTTGGAATGACTCTGATGGTCTGGAGCCTACTGAGAACTGGTCCTGGCTGTAGAAGTCTTGTGCTTCAAACTCATTTCTGGCCATAGGGTTGGGTCTTCTGTGTCTGGGTGGTCCTCTTTGCATATGAGCGAACTTGTTGCGGGGTCTTCTTGTCATGTTTTCACTCAAAGTTTCAAGTCTTCGTGAATTTGACTTATTTATGTTTCTAAACATTTAATTATTGCAATTGCTCTACGATATCGCGGGGTTTTGGGGTTTTGGGGTTTTGGGG